GGGACACCTGGGATACACCTGGGGATACCTGGGATAGACCTGGATACACCTGGGGATACCTGGGATACACCTGGGGATACCTGGGATAGACCTGGATACACCTGGGGATACCTGGGGTTACCTGGATACACCTGGGGATACCTGGAATACACCTGGGGGTACCTGGGATACACCTGGGGATACCTGGGGTTACCTGGATACACCTGGGGATACCTGGGATATAGCTGGGATATACCTGGGATATACCTGGGGATACCTGGATACAGCTGGAGATACCTAGGATACACCTGGGGATACCTGGGATACACCTGGGGATACCTGGGATAGACCTGGATACACCTGGGGATACCTGGGATACACCTGGGGATACCTGGGGTTACCTGGATACACCTGGGGATACCTGGGATATACCTGGGGGTACCTGGGATACACCTGGATACACCTGAGGTTACCTGGATACACCCGAGGTTACCTGGGGACATCTGGGATATACCTGGGGATACCTGGGACACACCTGGACACACCTGGATACACCTAGAGATACCTGGGATACACCTGGATACACCTGGGGATACCTGGGATACACCTGGGGATACCTGGGATGTGCCTGGATACACCTGGATACACCTGGAGTTACCTGGATACAGCTGGGGATACCTGGGATACACCTGGATACACCTGGGGATACCTGGGATACACCTGGATACACCTGCGGTTACCTGGATACAGCTGGGGATACCTGGGATATACTTGGATACACCTGACAGGAACTGGGGGAGTGGAGGAACAGGGGAGTCGGGGGGAGCACCTGGGAGACACCTGGGGATACCTGGGATATACCTGAGATACCTGGATACACCTGGAGATACCTGGGATACACCTGGGGATACCTGGGATACACCTGGGGATACCTGGATACAGCTGGAAATACCTGGGATATACCTGGGGATACCTGGGATACACCTGGGATACCTGGGATACACCTGGGGATACCTGGGATATACCTGGATACACCTGGGACACACCTGGATACACCTGGATACACCTGGGACACACCTGGGACACACCTGGATACACCTGGATACACCTGGGACACACCTGGGACACACCTGGAT